TCCCTGCCGGAAGGGCAAAGGGACCTGTAGATATAATATATATAATATATCGACAGGTCGCTTTGCCCTTCCGGGCCCGAGCCCCATCGCTCACGCGTCTTGTTGGCTGCCTGTTTGTAGAAGCCGATGGTTGGCTCATCACGACGATATCGAGTGCAGACGTCGCGCCGGAAGGTTTGCGTCTTTCTCCAGAAACCGGACGACGACGAAGTTTGTCACGACCAAAACCTCTTGCGAGCCGCAAATGGATGCGTCATATATACAATAGAAGGGGTGGTCGTCAACTGCCCAGCGAGGGACGCGAAAGCTTAAGACTGAGCATGCACGTGTTGGGGGCAGTTTGGCATGGGCACCCACTCTTCGTTAGACGAGAGACGGCTGTTGAGGCAAGGTGCGGGACAAGAATGTAGCTGCTGCCACCGCAGAGGTAGCCGAGCCGACGACGGCTGCCCTTCGTTGACAAGCCATACGTCCCACCAAGATCAAAAAAAAAGTTGCAAGTGTGCAGCTTTCGGTCATCGTTCGATATCAATAGTGGCTCCGAATCCCGTTTGCGGGAAAAAACAAGCAGAAAACTGTTTCCTCCTCAGCTGTCAAGGATGTCATCAATGAATCATGAAACACCGGGATCTCAATTCCCCCCTCCCCCACCCCCCCCCCCCCCTTCCACGGTTCCCAGACTCTTAAATAAAAACCATCCACCCCGCTTCATTTGTCCCCTACTCCCCTTCCCCCTTTATCCCCCGATCTCTCAGTCAGCCCTCTCCTACCTCCCTCACACACATCTTCTCACTCGTCCGCCGCCTAACCCCATCCCTCGCCCCCTTTCCATCGTCTTCACTCCTTCATCAGATCTCATCCTCCCGCGATGCGACCTGATAAACCGCTCCTCTCTTCTCTGCTCCCATTCCTCCTCCTCCTTTTCACCCTACTCCAACAGGCTGCAGCCTGCGTCTCCAATCTTCAATGTGCATGCAACGATGACAACTTCTGCTTCGACATGAGCACCGAGAAGACCTCCCGCGCCAATTGCGTCTACGACAACCATTGCCTGTGCAGTGAGCGCGGCGAATGTCTCAGCAAGCGCTGTCTCCCCGAGGATGAAGCCTGCTTTGCACAGCAGCAATGGCGTGCAGACGCTTCCGCACACTCGTTGAAGGGCCGGTTCACGTCATGGCACGCCTCAGGTAGCCTGTGAAAGCCGACATCTTGGCTTGTGTCAAGCCTCATCCAGCATGCCCGTGCTGCAATATCCGCTGCGTTTGGGTCACGCCGCACGCGCGTCAGCTCTTGTCTTTTGCTTTCCATCGCAACACTATACAGGACAACTTTATGTACAGCTTTACGGTCAAGGTAGCAATCCTAGACAGACATCGCACTGCTTTCGTGTCATACCGTTACAACCGACCCACTACTCCGCCTCTTTGCATCATATTAGTGCGCATCCGCAGCGTAGTGCAAATATATCTTTCCAATGTCTCCCGGCTTGATCTTGCATAGTTAGCAATTAAATCTATCATCTAGCACTTCTCGCTGCCTCCACCCTGCCCCTTCCCGTAAACTGATCCTTGGCGAAAGCAGCTTTTTGGTCTCTTCAGGATATCCCACCACTAATCGCTCCTCGACAGTTCCGTATATAGGTCGTTTCTAATCTTCCGGAAACGACCGCGAATTTTCAGCCATAGTTTTAGCCATGGCTGTATCCAGCATCCCCAGCCGCATCTGCTCCGGAATGAGCTTTGCCACCGCCATCATATTCTTATTCATAAGCCCTGGCGTGACTTTTGCATCGCCACGGTGCAGGCTCCTCAACGCTTCCTCCACGCAGTCTTCCACTGGCATCGGCTTCATCCCAATGGCATCAAGATTCACTCCTTCTTCCCGAAGCACGTCCACGATCTCACTCTCCACTGCCCCCGGCTCCAAACAAAGCACATCTACGCCCCTGGGAGCCAGCTCGCCCCTCAGCAACAATGCCAGCGTGGATACGTAGCTTTTTGTCGCCGAGTAGGTTGGGAAATTAGGAAACCCTGACTGTGCCATGGAGCTAGTGAAGACAATTCCCCCGCGCTTCCTTTGGCCAAGTCTTTTCCCAATCGCGTGCGCGAGCATCGTCACGGCGGTCACATTCAGAGCGATCATGTGCTGATAAGCCTCTGGGTTATGTCTAAAGAACGAGCCATGTAGGACGGTACCCGCATTGTTCACCAGCAAGCCGACATCCAAATCGGCGGTGTATTCCACAACGGCGCGGATGCCATCGTCGGTGGCGAGGTCTGCGGTAAGCGTACGGATTTCAATCGGATGCGGAGCCAGGGTGCGCAGACATTTTGCGTGGTCGTCGAGACGGGCGGAACGCCGTGCAACAAGGACGAGTGAGAACCCGGAGGCGGCAAGCTGCTGTGCGAACTGGCTGCCAATCCCAGATGAGGAGCCGGTTATGACGGCCCACGGCCCGTACTTACAGAGCAGGTCCGCGGGAAGGGGCATGGCTGAGCGAGAGAATGGGATCTGCGGGATGGGGGGTGATGGTAGAGGGCTGGGAGAAGGGGACCTTTATATGGATGGTGAATAATAGCTGGGGTGGGGCAGGGAGGGGATGGTAGAAGTGTAGGGTTGCGGTGGTGGATAGTATTCAGAAGGCTCCATTATGCGAATGGGGCTTGTAGTGGGGGAGGAAGACAACGTTGCCAAGGTGGACGGGGCTGGCGGACGTGTCTATGTCGACGTCATCACGATGTGAGTGAGGGCACGCGCCGTGTCGTGCACTGCTGCCCCGATGGATTTATTGAAAGCAGAAGTCAATGTCGGCTAGATTGGCAGCGACACGTGTCTCTCCTCTTCATCTCTCTGCAATTCCATTGCGCCAATTCTCTCGGACACGCCTATCAGTCTGCATCTTTTTCAAGAATCCTCGCAAGCCCGGGACAGTTTGTCGACTCCCTATGAGGATGACAGAAAAGAAAAGAGAGAGCATCACGTCCAAACTACCGTGGTTCGCCCTCCACGATGTTCATTAGATGTGCCCTTTCTAGACACATTGCCCAGCGCATGTGTTTGTCCGCCAGCTCATGATTCAACGGACGGTGCTTTTTTTTCCAGCCGCTTTATTCTTCCTATCTAATATGCTTACCACTCTTTTCCTCCTGACACAAACATCCTTTCAATACCATGCATTTCACGCTAAGCAGTTGTCGGCATCATCGTTTCTCGCAGTGAAATCCGTTGACGATGATGCAGCGTTTTGCGATGTGTTCTTGTAAATGGCGTCGTCATATTTCCAGCAAAACTATAATTCAAATTAGCGCCTATTCATCCCACCCATGTCGCCGAGACAAAAGCATCCGACAGGATGGTACATGCAGTTACCGGTTCAGATCCCGAACTCTTGAAAACGCCTGTCTGTGCCCCTGCTTGCTGTCCACCAGCAGCGGCAACTGCACCTTATCTGACGTCATTGCACACCATGTTCTCATGCATAAAGCAGGCCTATTTCCTTATTACCGTTTCAAGAACGTCGAACAACGAAGTTGTACATTGCTGGTGACAACATTATTTCCACATATCTCCCTTCCACACCTTTCCTCATAGTTGCTTGCTTGCTTTTCGCTGGTAAAGATAGAAAAGAGAAGCATTTTTCGTTTGCTACCTCTCTTTGATGACTCAACAGTCACATGAGCACTAGAAGGGCATGGATTTCCAATTTTCATACATATTCCCAGCAGCAAACGATTCCTGGGGCCCTTTGCAAGAAACAAAATGCCTGTTCACTACGCAACGGGATTGAACGCATCGTCTACAGAATCTTCTTCCCTTAACTGCGCCCTGAAAGAAGCTTGCCGTTCGGGGATCACATGGCGTTGGTACGCCTCCCACAGGATAGGATCCAGTTTGGTGTCTGTTGGACAACGTGCTTTTAGCTCATCTAAAAATGAGGGCAACAAAGATGGTACAGACTCGAAATCCCTCGGAACCAGTAGCGACGGTTGCGACGAAAAGTCGGGTAACAAGTCATGCGGTTCAGAGACGTGTCTGAAATCCTGCGACTCCGTCTGAAGCCATTGACCCCCGGTCGGCACCTGGGGGCCGCCATGTGTGGACACGAGCTTGGTCTGAAACGCGTCCTTCTCATACGAAAGTTTCTGTACATTTTCCTGGAGTTGCAGGACAAGGGCGTCCTTCTTGAGGGACTCTTCGTGCAACTTTTTGTTTAACTGTTTAAGCTTGGCCCTCTCACACATCAATTTAGTGACTAGCTCCTCGAAAGAATTGGTGAGAAACTCTTGTTTGATTCTGCTCGCGACGGCGGAGGCATGGTTGTCAACTTTCTTCTTGGCCGTCTTGACAAGGTCCTTGTTGCCCGACCGCTGAGCTTCCAGGACCTTGGCGCGGAGGTCGGTCTGCTTGCGCTGCTTTGTAATGCGATATTGAAGTCCCGCTTTCTTGTGGACGATGGCGATGACGGCGGAGGGATTGTCGTCGCAAGCGGGAATGGATAGGGACGTGTCGAGAGGGTTGTTCT